CCTCAGCACTGCCCTGGGGACACAGAGCAGGGGACAGCACGGAGCCTCAGCACTGGCAGATTTTCCTTTGTGGAAAACCCTAAAAATAAGTGAGGGATAGCAGCACCACTGAGCTTGGCTGTGTGGTGAAGAGAATGGGAAAACCAGTGGGGAAAATTCACCAGAGAATGTGAACTGAGTGAGAATCTTTATTCTTGTGTGCTCTGGTACCTTGTGGGTGTCCCTTGCAGGAAGGACAGCCCTGCTATGCTCCTCAGAGTGATCCCAGAGGGAATTCACAGAATTCACAGAATCACTGGGTTGGAAGAGACCTTCAAATCACTGAGTCCAACCCAGCCCCAGCACCTCAACTCAACCCTGGCACCCAGTGCCACATCCAGGCTTTGCTAAACACACCCAGGGATGGGGACTCCACCACCTCCCTGGGCAGCCATTCCAGAACTTCATCACTCTTTCTGTAAAAAACCTTTTCCTGATCTCCAGCCTAAATTTCCCTTGGTGCAGCTTGAATCCTGCCAGCCCGCAGCGCTCCTGGTGATGCCCACCCTCCAACCCCCCCTCCAAGTGCTTTTGGGGAAACGGGAGCAGCCGATTCCAGAGGCCAGCAGAGGGTGGGAGCTCACCTGGGATGCAAGAGAGCACCCGTGGGCGCCAACTGCCCATGGATGTGCAGTGTACAGTGCTGGCAGTGCCCACGAAGCCGGGGTCACACTGCAGCGTGGCTGTGCTGCCGAAGGTGAAGTTCTCTGCAGAGCTCAGCTGCCCGTGGGCGATGGGAGGGATGGGACATTGAGCCTCTGTGGAGCACAAAAAAAAAAAAAAGGCTTTTTGTCACAGACATGTTTTATGAGAAATCCTTTCCTTAGGATTTTTCCTCCTGAGAAGCTGAGAGGCCTCAGGAACAAAATATAAACAATGGTTATCTGCTGCTGTGGGATGCAACAGGTGCATCTGTGATTGGCCCCTGTTGATTGTTTGTAATTAATGGCCAATCACAGCCCAGCTAGCTCAGACAGAGAGCCAAGCCACAAACCATTGTTATCATTCTTTCCTATTCTAATCTTAGCTAGCCTTCTGATGAAATCTTTTCTT